AAATTTCTTCATTTTTTCCATGGACAGAACTCTAATGGCAATGGCGGTTTTGTAGAGAACGATGGTCGCCCTCAGTTTGAACAATTTGTTACACAGTTCCCTTTCCTTTTTGGTTTTGGACAAGAGTTTTGATAGACTTGTATACAAACAAAATCAGGTAAGCTCACATGCCTTTGCTTCTTTGTTCCTTGATTTAACCTTATCCATTTTTAAAGTAATTAAAAAAGGACCCTAATCAATCTTGAACCCCACATGATTATACTTGTTTATGGCATTTCTGTCCGTACTAATTTGCATACTTGTCAATTATTTTATCGAATATTAATTACCTTTAATAAAATAGAGTCTTGGCGTAATTGATAAAGTTGTTGTCATGTGATCACGAGGTCACGAGTTCAAGCCGTTGAAACAACTTTTTGTAGAAATACAGGTTAAGAAAGCGTAGAATAGACTCTTATGGTCCGGCCCTTCCTCGGACTCCGCCCCTAGCGGGAGCTAAGTGCACCGGGCTACCATTTTTTTAATTTATTAATTACCTCTCTTAATCATTTAATAAAAAACGAAACGTGTCTGCTTGTAATAGCCAATAGTAGGAGTGACAAACATGCGGGTCGGATCGGATATGGTTCGGATCGAAAACGGATAATGAAAAAATGGATCAATTATCTGATCCGACCCATATTTAATACGCATAAAAAACGGGTTAACCGGCGGATAATATGGTTAATCATATTATCCATGACTTCTTGCATATGATCACTTTTGGGAGAATTTTTAGTCTCCATAATTTGAGGAACCTCCAATTTGAGGCTTTACAAATATAAAAGCTAGACCTATTGGTTACGTAAAAATTGCATGGGGGCGCCCCTTTTTAACCTATAGCCACTTTGTTTTTCTGTTTGCACCCGTACCCGTTTTTTGTTAAAAGCCTTTTGAAAACACTATTTTGCCCTTCTTTATTAAAAGACTACTTTCTCTCCAAGTATACGCTACTCCTCTACTCTCTCTCTCTCCCGTTATTCGCGCGTTTTGATGTGTTCTTCTCTAAAATCAAACGGTTTTTGATTTTTCAACTGTTTGTTCCTCAATAACATTACGATTTAATCACATGTACATTGCATTAACTTCCTGGGTTTTATTTTAGTATTAATTTTTACGATTTAATTTCTGGTTTTGGTTTTGATAGTCATGTATTTATGATAAAATAGTTTCTTAGGGTTTAGTTTGATAAGTGCATTAGTTTTACTTTTACGATTATGTTTTTAGGTTCTTTGAACGTGTGTTTGTGTTGTTGATAAAAATTCTATAAATTCTTCAGTGATTTTTGGAGACGTCGAAATTTTTAAAATTTTTGAGAGTTAAATAGATGATACTATTAAAGTGTGAAGTTTATAATACTTCAATGATACCTTAGATAGGAGCTGAAGATTTGTTTCATGTTTTGTGTTTTTTTTTTGTTATATTTTTTATGAATTTCAGCATTATTTTTGGATTTGAATTTGTGTTTTTGTTTTTTGTAAAAACTACAGCATGTTTTTTGCTAATGTTTTGTAACTGGTGAACTTCAGCTTTAGCAGCTGAAGTTTTTGTTTTTGTAACTGGTGAACTTCAGCTTTAGCAGCTGAAGTTTTTGTTTTTGTAACTGGTGAAGTTCAACTCTAGGAGCTGAAGTTTTTGTTTGTAACTGGCGAACTTCAGCTCTAGAGCTGAAGTTTTTGTTTGTAACTGGCGAACTTCAGCTCTAGAGCTGAAGTTTTTGTTTGTAACTCGCGAACTTTAGCCTTCTTAGAGTTGAAGTTTTAACTGATTTTTTGATAATGTCCTGATGTTATTTTTTGTATCTTTTACTTTTTTTGAACAGATGACACCTAAAGATCCTAAAGTAGCTAAAGCACGTAAAGCAGCTAATGCACCTAAAGCACCTAAACAACCTATAATACCCCCAGGTCCTTTCGTCCCTGCTGCTCCACTTACAAAACCAGGGCAAATATATTTTGATTTTTGAGATTGGTTTAACTGTAAGGGTTACTGGAAGAGGAACCACGATTTGAAGAGTTTAATTGCAAGTTTCTTGACTCATGTACAACGGGATAAGCTTAATAATGGTACATTTCGATATATTATGGCTATGGAGAATTTCAAATGCAGCATGAAGTTGGTTCATTGTTTGTGTCTTTCTCGAATATTCACTAATGATCGACACTCCATTAGTTTCAAGATTTTTGGTCATGATGTTTCCTTCACCCTTGAAGATTTTCACATTATGTGCGGTTTGCGGATCACAGCACATAATGTTGAAAAACTAATTAATCGAGAGAGCAATATTCTGAAGCGCTATTTTGGTAAGTCTAAGGGTGTGACCTTTGAAGGATATTCGAGATTTTATGACTCGGAATGAAATTCCAAAGAATGTTGTGAATCACAGTCACGTATGCGAGAGTGATGCTGATGATGTGAAGCTTATGGAAATTCTTGTTGTAGAGTCTATTTTGTTTGGGAAAAAGACTGAATCATCTGTGCTGGAGGAATATGCAGCTATTGTTGAAGATGATAAGATTTGTGCTGAATATCCTTGGGGTAATGTGTATTATGAGAAGCTCATTTACTCACTAAAATATGCATTGGACAAGCAGAACAAATATCATTCAACTGAGTATAAAGTTGGTGGATTTCCATATCCGTTATGTGCTTGGTTCTATGAGCGCTTCCCAGTGAGGATGAGTACCTTGATACCCTGTTCGCAAGATGTTACGTTATGTATATGTGGGAGATCCTAAATATAATGAACTTTTTGATTTCTTCAATAATCATGATGTAAGTTATTTTTTTTATTTTTGTCTTTGTCTTAATATGTTGACGTATTAGTTTTTTTCCCCTCATAATTTTTTTTTGTATTAAACCGAGATATCGCAACTTTAAGGTGTTGGATATAATTCCTACAGAAGAGGAATTGAATTTAATGCTTTTAATTGGACAATTACCATGTAGCCGGATTCGTTCAAAGGTATTTAATGCGGTTCCTTCAACTGGTGGTTTTTAGTATTATGAAGTTTTTTTAAAAAATCATAATAAAATACAGAGTGCAGGAGGAAAATACTTCAGCTCCCTTTGCTGAAGTTTTCAAGAATGAACTAAAAAAAATCAGCATTTTATGCTGAAGTTTTTGTGCAATTTGTAATTTTAATTTATGTTTTATTTTATTTAATGAAAAATGATGTTTTTGAATTAATGTTTTTGTGCGTTTTTTAATATTAATCCTTTTTAAACTTAGAAAATAACAGAGGAATTAACAAAAACTTATCCGAAAGTTTCATATTGCAGGACAAAATATTAAACATTTTTTAGTAGATGAACTAAAAAAACTTCAGCATACTAAAAATTATATGAAAAATGTTTTACATATTCTGGAAAACTTAAGCATTTTTTGGTATGAAGTTTTTCCAAAAAATCATAATAAAATACATAGTGCAGGAGGAAAACTTCAGCTCGTTTTGCTAAATATTCAAGAATGAACAAAAAACTTCAGCTCGTTTGCTGAAGTTTTTAAAGATGAACTAAAAAACTTCAGTACTTTATGCTGAAGTTTTTGTGCAATATGTAATTTTAATTTATGTTTCATTTTTTACCCAGTGTAGGAGGAAAACTTCAACTCATTTTGCTGAAGCTTATAAAGATGAACTAAAAAACTTCAGCATGTCAATATAAAATTATAATTATGTTTTTACTTTTTACCCAGTGTGGGAGGAAAACTTCAGCTCGTTTTGCTGAAGGTTTTAAAGATTAACTAAAAAACTTCAGCACCTATGCTGAAGTTTTTGTGCAATATGTAATTTTAATTTATGTTTTTTTTTTACCCAGTGTAAGAGAAAAACTTCGGCTCGTTTTCCTGAAGTTTTTAAAGATGAACTTTTGTTCAATATTAAATAATAATTTATGTAATATTTTTTACCCAGTGTAGGAGGAAAACTTCAGTTCATTTTGCTGAAGTTTTAAAAGATTAATTAAATAACTTCAGCTTGTTTAGCAAATAAACAAGACATATACTTCAGCACATGTAAAAACTCAGCTTGTTTAGCAAATAAACCAAAAATTTCAGCATATTATGCAGTGGAAAACTTCAGCATATTTGAATTTGTCGGATTAGAATGTTAGAATTCAACGTGAAATAGATTTAGAATACAAATTCAGCATATCAGTGAAGAGTTCATGTTTCATCCGTCAAACAACTTCAATCAATCAATCAGTTTCAAAAACTATTTTAAATTCTGAAGATGAATTTGAATACTATTTTGTAATTTTAAATTTGGAATTTGATTCTAGTTCAAATCTGGTTTGCGAGAGGCGATCTGAGGAGAGATGAAGTGATGGAGGAGAGACGGAGGCGATCTGGAATTTGAATCTGGTGTGCGCGATGCATCTTTTATATGTTTTGGAAGGGGTATAATGGTCATATTATTACGAATTTTTTGTTAGTCAGTTACGAAATTAATAATTTTTAAAAATAGGGTATAACTTAAAAGGTGACATAAATATAGGGTATGGCTGCAAATCGTCCATTGGTTACCCATTGATTATCTATTTTTTAAATGAATGATATGATTCTATCCATATTTGATTCGTTTTTAAAAGTTCATTATTTAATCAATTTTTTAATGAATAATATGAGTGATTAACTCTTTTCTTTTAACCATTTTGCCACCCAATAAGTAGTATTTGTAGTGAAGAATAGTAGGGACCTCTACATGAGGTTCTCTGCTCCACATGTGTAGTCTTCAATACCTTCCATTCAACACTCCCCTCAGATTTTATATCTATATATATCTTACGGACTTTGAGACGTTTTCATATGTTTTTATCACTACTGTTAAGTTCACATCAATTACCGACATTTCAACCACATCTTTTACATCCATTGTCCCCAGTTGTTCTTCTATATTATAGTACTTAGTACTCATATTATTGTTGTTGAATTTCTTTTCAATTATGACTCGTCCAGCTAGATTTCTGCTAAGCACAAACTCTTCTTCAACTTCCCCTTCAACGCCGGCGGCGGAGCCACCATCTACGGTGGCAGTGGAGTCGGACTTTGTCGTAATATTAGCTGCTTTGCTTTGTGCATTAATTTGTGTGGTGGGGCTCATCGCTGTTGCAAGATGCGCGTGGCTCCGGCGAGCAACCGGCGCCGGAGGCGGCGGAGCTGGTGGTCAGTCTTCGGCGGCGGCGAATAAAGGGTTGAAGAAGAAAGTGTTGCAGTCGTTGCCTAAGTTCACTTATGACCCCAGCAGTACAACGGCGAAAGGTACGCCGTTCACGACGGAGTGTGCCATTTGTCTGGCGGAGTATGCGGTGGGGGATGAGATCCGTGTGTTGCCGCAGTGTGGCCATAGTTTTCACCTTCAGTGTATTGATACTTGGTTGGGTTCACACTCTTCGTGCCCTTCTTGTCGTCAAATTCTCGTAGTTGCTCGGTGTCGGAAGTGCGGTGAGTTCCCTGCAGTTTCCCACAAAACCGACGGTGCTCTGGCTACACCTCCGGCTGAGTCTCGTTCATGTGCTAGCTCAAGTAATTTTCTAGTCTAGAAAAAGAAAAGAAAAAAGACAGCGCTTTAAATTATATACGCCGATAATGTAAAAGATCAATCTAATTTACATTATCAGTGCAGTTATACCAGTTGTAATCCGTCACTTATTGTGTTATGCAAGTTAGGTTACTAATCTACATATTATCGTAGACAGTTGTAATTATCTTTAGCATGATATTTTTAAATTATTTTTAAAAATTTAGGGGGCGGTTGAACATAAGAATTGTAAATTTTAGGGGAAAATGAACTTTTTTTTTCAAGGAATTTAAAAAAAAAAAAGAAAAAAGAAATGGTTAAGTGTATTTGTCAGAGAGTTTGGAAATGGAGCCCATAGAAGGTGGTGTGGAGGTTGCTTCACTTTTTGTCTAGTAGTAGCTATAGAGGAAGAGATAAAGAGGAAGCAACATGCTTGACTGCTATGGTAATGGGAATGTAGAAGCTAGAAGGTGACAAACTTGAAATGATAGGATTATTGGCTTCTTCTTAAGGAAAGCCCAACTAGAAAATGGTAGGGCAAGTTGTTTGGAGTAATTGGTACTTCAATTTCCCCTTAAATTTCATTGTACAATTTGCTTTTGTAACAGTTTTAAAAAACATAAGCTTCCTTTTTCTTGGTCTAATTTGTTGTTCCTTGCGTGAATTTCTTTTGCTTTTGTTGTCTCTCCGAGAAATTACTCCTTCATGTAAGAGTTTAGGTTGTCTACATCGCATCTCTAAAGATGCGATGCTTTTCGAGATTCTACGTGAACGTGGGATGTCTTGTGCATCAGCTTGCCCTGCTTTTTGCGTGAGTTTCTTTTGCTTTTGTTCTCATTCTAAGAAATTACTCTCTACCGTGCGATCTTAGCTCCTTATTTTGACTTGCTATATTTCCATCGAGAAAAGTCTCCAATGGGGATGCCATCCCTGCCTTGCTAAAATGAAACCTCTAGTTGAATGTGAATATGTATTTAGAGGCGGATTCAGAAATTTAATTTTATGAGTTCAATTTTAATTTATTTTAACTCTATGGATTTAACATTTAAGGTTCTTAGTTTTGAATCCATTATATTTTTAAAGTTATGTGTTTATAGTTATTATTTATTATTATTTTATTGAATTCAAAAATATTAGTATGAACACGGTACTGCTATATATGCGGCATCCGCCCGAGTATGGTAGTTAATATAGGACGGAAGAATAGCTTGTGTTATATATCTTTGCATTTATATTTACTCTGTAGGCTGTATATAGCTTTATACGTGTGATATTTCGGGATAAAATAGGACCACCCTTGTGGAAAGTACTACACTAGACTAGAAAGTACTCTAAGAAATTAGAAGGTAGAATAATTTAATGAACAGAGCAATCCAGAAGAAGTTTGGATAAGCAGAATATAACTATATCTCTAGATATAGGATTGCTTAGTTGCATTTTATTTTTTATCCCATAAGGTTATTAGTCGAATCCAAAATCTAGTGCTAGTGGGTTCAAATAAATGTAATACTAATATATATATATCCATATTACTTTTATTTTGTATATGCATACTTGGTTTGAGTAAAAAATAATGGGTTAGTTGAACCCGTAAAATTCGATCTTCCCTTGCATAAAGCGACTGCCTCCTCTAACAATTTTTAACTTAAAAAAATTGACATGCTGGGATCTTGAAGCATATATAGTCCCTAGTAAGTGATTGACTCGTCTGTCATTATGCATAAATGAATTCTAGTATTGGATCAAAAGGCACTTCTCAGTATGCAAGTTGTGGTAGTAGGAAAACAATTGAGGATGACCAAACTATAAAAAATAACCAAAAATAAATAAATTCAGCTTTCCTTTTCAACTAAAACCACGCAGGATGACATCATCCTTGCCCTAGCTAGGCAAAAAGAGGAAGATATTATTTATAGGCGGATCAAAAGTAAATTCACTTAAATTTATTATTTTCGGCTCAAACTATGTATATATATATCAAAAGAAATTAAAATATATACATATAATAGGATCATACTCATTCTGAATCTATTGACCGTAAATCTTAATTTTGCTTCCAATAACATCCATGCCGCACCCTTTGGAGCAATTTCCAGTTTTCTCCTCAAAAGGAAGAACATCTTCAAAAAGAGAAAAGGAAATAATAAAGCAAGATAAAGACGAAGAGTAGTGGATAGAAATTAACTTTTCTTTGTTGCACCCAACTTGTGATTCTGTAGCCACAAAAACAATTGAAAACTAAACATCTCTTGCGAAAAGTATACTATATTATAGTAATCATGAAGTCCAAAAGCGAAGATGAATATAAACATAACTGCCTTTTAAGAAGAATTATTATACTTAAATTAGTAGTTTTACCCGACATCCTCAGATATATCCCGGCTAACTTTGACTAATAACCACCCATGCTTTTCTTGAAATGTTTGGCTAGACATCGTTCACGGGCCGGCCGGGGAAAAGGATCGTCACTAAATAGGCATATTAATGTGCCACGATTTTAAAACGTAAAAATAATACGGTATAGTCAGTTTTCGGATTGGTCATTCAAAAATAGTCAACGTTTACTAAGTCAATGAAAAATAGCCACTATTTTGCTGCAACAAAGACCGGTCCAGCATAATATACTGGAGTTTGGTGCACCTGTGTATGAACTCCAACATATTATGCTGGACCGATATACTTTGCTGGCTTCAGTATAATATACTGGATACTGGAGCATCGGTGCTCCAAACTCCAGTATATTATATTGGAACTCCAGCATAATATACTGGCGTATTTTCGAGTTTTGAGCAGTGCTTTCGCTTAAATTTATCTTTACATAAAAAATAATTAAATTTCAATTACTTTTAAAACTGTGCTATTTTTGAACGACCAATTTTAAATCTGACTTTTAAAACAAATGCCTATGACTTCACGTAGTCTTAAGGCTTTGCACTTTTATTAGATTGTCTAATTTTCTACTAATAATGCTTCTCTCTAATTAGTGTGCTTTTCTTGGGTTGATGCAGCACAATGAGTAATTTGCTTCAGGACCTCAAAAAAGAAAAGAGAAAATCTTTCACTTATGAATGGAATATATTTCTTAATAATTTTTTTATGATTATTATCGATCTTTAACCAGAGATGGATCCAAGATTTAAATTTTATGGGTTCAATATTTAAGGTTCTAACATTGAACTAATTATATCTTTAAAATTATGGATTTATATATATATTATTTATTTTAATTTTTATGAATTTCACACATAAATTTATGTATTCCACCGAAAATATTAAATTCAAATGAATACGGTATTGAAAGGCTACACCCGCTCCCGTCTTTAACACGCATCAGTTTCATAAAAACAGTTTGATTACCAATATTACTATCAGTCTTGGATAAATGTTTTCCTTTAATAATTTTTCTCACTCGTCAATCAAATACTAAGTTTCCGTTTGGCCATAGATTTTGGCTTCTTTTGTTTTTCAAAAATAATAATTTTAAAACAGTGTTTTATCATGGAATATGATCAGTTTTTGAAAGAAATTTTCAAGTTTTCAAAAATTGATTTAGGACAGTTTTTGAGTGAATTTTTTCTTCTACTCGTAATTTTTTTTTTTTCAAGTTTCAACTAAATCTATGTCTAAACATTAGCTAAAAGTAAGTTTCAAGAAATTATTTTTCAGAAATAATTTACCAAAAATTGTTTTTTTTTCTTTCTCCTCCACCAAAAGCCTAGCCCCCTTGAGTGTTAAAAGTTAAAGATAGAACAAAGACGCGAAAGATTAAAAACAAAAGTAGTGCGCATTATTATAGTATATATTAAGGTGATTGATGTAGCCTCCAACTCCAAGTTTAACGGCCTACCAAAAGTTAGAGATGCTTCGACACAGGGAACAGTCTAATCTCAAATCCCAATGCTGGTAAAAAGTTACAAAAAATGGATATGTATGAATAGATAGAGATAAAACCCACCATAACCAAAACCTCTTATCATTGGGCTAAAAGTAAATGGAAGGTAAAGAATACTCATTACCATCAACCTGTTCAAGTCAATAATCAAATATCAACTTGTGCAGGCGAAGGCTGGCACGTAAACACTTATTGTATAGGAAGTTCCCAAATATATATTAGATATTTTGCTCTAGAAAGGTAAATCAAGAAAATATCCCCTAGAACTATCCAAAAGCTTATTTTATATATCCAAAAAATATCTATTTTCGTGACAGAAAAAGTGCACAAGATATTTCAATTTTCACATATATAAAACCATGATTACTAACTCCACTTCCAAGAATCCATCCTAAAGATACCAGGAAGTTTTAGATCCAACTGAATATGACCTCCATTAAGGTTGTTTTCATGGTTTCTTCCCATACATTACAATTCTAACCTGGCTTTAACTGTTTTACATTGCCATCTATATGACAGCAGAACCCCTTCTTTTAAGCCAAAGTAAACTGGGATGAAATGTCACGCAACTTTATTGAAGACAGGAAATTTCCAAGTACTTGGGGTCATGATGCACCGTCTTACACGGAATAGCAACTCTCATTGGTTTATTCTAAAGACGTTATCTGTTTGCTTTTTTCCCAACGGTATATGGAGATTATATGTATTATATATCTATCACTTATTTTTAGTTTAAGTAATTAAGTTAGCCGCTTATTTAAGTTAAATCTTCTATTCTAAAAGTATATATTCTTAACAGTATAAACGCTTTATTTAATTTTATCTTCAATATGTCCATCCCTGTGCTAGAAAATTTTGTTTATTTAATTATTTGTCTTCAAATATACCCTTTCGTGTTTTAGTGTGATTCTTTTTCATGGGCAAGTACAATATTTTTTTTTTTTTTTTTTTAACAGGTGAATGT